TATGTCATGTTGCTTCCACATTTTCACTTCACTAAAGGCTAAATCACTTTAGAGTCATCATCTCAAATTGGAATTTTCCTTTTCTTCAATCACTGTATCATTGTAGCAGGTGGAAAAAAATACCTATTTTTGACTGAAAGAGCTTCCATGAGCTATGGTTTATCCTGAAACTCTGCATTTTATTCTTCTAATTAATCTTTCTAATTAATCTAATTAATCTTTCTCTATCAAACATCACATATTTGTGCACATTAAATACAAAATCTACTCCTATAACTGTTTTTCCCTCTAGATGTTATCCCATGATATATCTGGGGAAAAATAGGAATGAACCCTAAAATCAAAACAAGAAGCCCCATTGTATTCCTACTCTTCAGTTTTATCTTCTTTGGATAGTAGTGACATCTTCTGGGATAAGTAAATACAAGTACTTCAATAAACTATTCTCATCATAAATTATTCTCATCATAATATTCTTACTCCACTATAAACTGTTTTTATCTCAACCCCCCTAACTCCATGTTCAACAGCCTCATCAATATTAAAAAGAATGACTAAGCATTGTTTATTTACCTAATTTGATTTTTTAAAATTCTACCCTTCAGAGTATGAATATCTATGGGGCACAAAACAATTATAATACATGAAACATCATATTGGTGTGTGCTAACGAATACCAATCATGAAGTGTAAATTGAATAATTGTGCCCAACACAGCATTCAGGTCTGGAGACTGATGTTCTGCCAAATCCAAACAAGCAGGGAATGCCCTCACTAATAAAATGCCCTGCATTCAAATGATGATATTTTTTTTTCCAAATCCTCAGCAAGAGAACCTATCTGACCTTAGATGTTATATGAGTAGAGAGGCCAGAGCAGAGGTAACTTGGGGTTCCAACTTCTTAGAATAGTCCCAAAATGCATTGAGCTAAGCACTGCGGATACAAGGAAAAAACAAAAACAGTAATTGCCCTCAAGGAGTTTATAGTCTAGTGATCCTGGAATATCTTCAAAGTCAGCTCCATATAAAGTTCAATAGAGTAATTGAACTGAAAGGGCAGAAACTATACATGGTGATAATGAGTTCTGTAGCAGAAAGAAGCAGTTACATGAAGTATATAGGTTAGGCAACATAGGACTTAGATAAATTATTGGTAGTGGTAAAGCCTTTCTTTAGGGGAGGGAAGGGAAGATTTGTTTGTTATTATTATTTATCTAATGTATCAAACTAATGAGTTTTGTTGGGGGGAGGGAAGGGATTGGTCAATTTTGAAACCTTACATCTAAACATTAATCTTCCTCCCCAACTACCAGAGGAGGGGTAAGGACCCACAAGGATGACTCAGCAACTAAAATACAGATGGATAGATAGAAAGCAGCTGAACCACCATGAAAAGATGTTAATTGCTATTGTCTCTAGACTGTATATTTCCTCAGCTAAGCCAATAACCTGGGTAACAAGGACTTCTAAAACAAAAAGGAATTTGTTAAATGGCATGAGGCACGTGTTTGAAGAGGAAGAGGAAGCTTGTTCTGAAAGAGCACCCATTCTAAGAGGAAGCTCAATTCACATATGAAGGACCTGGGGACTTTTCACCTATAGAAGACTTAGTGGGGACATGCTACGTTTCAACCAAACTAACTTACTTTCTCTATCGGTTACACAACATTCCTCTTCTTGTCTTTGTACCTTTTCCCAACACCTAGAATCTATTCCCCAGTTGCCTCACGAAAATCATTACTTTCTTCAAGGCTTTGCTTAACTCCCACCTACACAAGCCCATTCTGATCCTCTCAGTTACTAACACCCTCCCCACTGGAAATAACTTCATATTTTAATTTGGTAGGGTAAGGGAACAGAAGAAGTTCTGTTATTTCACTGGTGTGAGTAAACTCTCTTTATCAATAGGCAATTCATATGCAATTTACAGTCTCAGAGAATTGCCTGGGGAAATGAGAAATTAGGAACTTGCTGGAGACCTCAAAGCCAGTATGTATCATAGACTAGACAATACCAAGGGTGGATCATATTTAAAAAAACAGTTCATCATTTAGCACTGAAGTAGAAGTTTCTCATATTTTATTCCACCATGATACAAAGAGAAATGGTTTGTAGATTCTAGAGTTTTCCCCCTGGGTTTCGTCTCCTGTAACCTGGATTTTTATCCCACAAAAATCAGATATTAGACATTTTTCTTTAGCTTAAGAGGCTTAGATTTATAGTGATTAATCAGTATATTAAATGTTTAATATTAAAAGGAAGCCAGAAGGCAAAAGTATAAATATAGACTGTTGAATATTACATTTAATCATGCTCTAGCTATCCAAAATATATTTAATTATTTTACAGAAAGCCTGACCCATTTAAAAATAAATAAATAAGCAACAGAGGAAATAGAGCATGCCACTGAGGAAAGAAATAATGAGTTTGTTTCTGAACTGAGTGAATTCTCATACTGCCCAGCACCTATGAGTTCACTTTTGGCCCAGTTTTTTCCTAGTTAATGATCTGCCTGGAAATCAATGAACCTCAATGAAGGAAGCTATTCTCTTAATATGAGATTCTTTATGTATCTTGTATGTGCCTTTTTCCATTCATGTTATCTCACACTTTAGAGTGTAAGCTCCTTGTGAGCAGTGAATACTTTATTTTTGTTTTTTCTTTATATGCCCCAATGCTTGAGGCAGTGCCTAATACACAGTAAGTCCTTAATAAATTTGCTTACTGGTTGAGTGACTACCTAATTGTATTTCCCTTCTATTTAAAGTAGTGATAGGATTGAGACATACTCATGCACTTAACAAGCATTTATTGAATACTTACTCTGAGCAAAGCATTTTTAGCAACTGTGGGAGAAACAGATACATAAAATAATCTCTAAGGAAAGTGCCGTAATTCTGTGAGAAGATTTGATACACCATTCTATGAGAGTATGAAGAAAGGAAAAATCAGGGGAGGTTTAATGAAGTATGGATTTGGAGTTAACCCTTAAAAGATAAGACGGATTTCAGTAAATGAAGATGGCCAACAGGATCTTCCAAGTATAGGAAAGAATATGAGCAAATGCATGGAAGCAGTAAAGCACAGGTATATTTGGGGATTGGGGAGCAGATAAATTTGGCTGAAGCATAAGATATATTAATGAGAGCACATAATGTAGAGAAAGAACACTGTGGCCAGGTTATGAAGCAACTTTAGTGACTAGATAAAGAGTATGTATTTTAGCAAAGTAGGAAAAATGGCAACCATGGAAGGTTTTTGAGCAGAGGAATGACCTATTTAGAAATGATACTTTAGAAAGCTTAAATCTGGGCAACAGTGTTTAAGATGGGTTGTAGTGGAGAACCCAGTTAGGAGAGCCCTGTATTATTATACAGGGTAGATGTAATAAGGTAATAAGAACCTTAACTGAGGTTTTTGACTAGAGAAATTTAAAATATGAGATGTATGCAAATGGAAAAAGTAAAATCAGTAGGATTTTGTTATTGCTACGCCATCAATCAAAATAAGGATTATGATAATGATAACATCATCTTGTCACTCTTAGAATGTTTTTTAAGGCTTGCAAAGCATTTTATTCATGACAATCCTAGGATAAAAGGAGTGCAGGTATTATTATTCCCATTTTACAAATGAGGAAACTGAGACTTAGAGAAGATAAATGACTTGCAAAAATCACACAACTAGTAAGTGTCAAAACCAGGATTAAAAATCAGGTCTTTGCTAATTCCATGAGCTCATTCTATGACATCACACCCTCCAGCAGGACAAAAGAAGGAAAGATAGGAATCCAAGGTGATTCAGAAGGCTTGAATCTAGGACTGAGTTAGTGGTGGTACCATTAAGAATGGAGTCAGAGGGAGGAGCAGATTGGAGAGCTGGAAGAATGGTACTGAACAGTTTAACTTTAGACCTGCTGAGTTTGAATTGCCTTTGCCTTCTTGAAAGAGTTTAGGAAATATGAGTTACGATTTGGGACTTCCAAATGGAACTGTCCAGCAGGCAGCTGGGAAAAATAGATCTTAGTTCAAGAGAGGGGTTAGAGCTCTCAGTTTAGCCTTGGGAGTCATTCACATATGAATTAGGTTATCTCATTTGAATTGGTTTAGGTTCAGCGCTTTGGCAGGTCAACTAGAAAAATAATCTCTCTTTGATGAGGTAAACATTTTTTGTCTGAATAAGGATAAGACTTTGTTCATTAAAGACCAGTAACTTGGTATCACAAAAAGAGCAAATTTAGTACACACAACAGGAATCAAGAACTTGTTCCCCAGAGAGGTCACCTTGACTTTGGGATAAAGAAAAGAACAAGGTACTTAGGACAAATCATACTTGACAGAAACATGTTCCAGAAGACTAGCAAGTAAATATCTTTCCCTTTTTCTATTGGGTAGCCATGCTATTTCCATAAGACTAACCTGCTACAGGGTATCCTAAGGTATTCTGTCAGCTCTTATTCATTATCCTGACACAGATTTGGGGACTGTTCTTTAGTCAGAACCTGAAAGGAAATAATGCTTATGCCCCTTTCCCACCTGATTCATTCAAAATTTCTTAGCTTTGCATGGTAAATGGTCCCAATGACCTATGAGAGGTGAGCTTGCCTTGAGTTTCTTTGAAGTACTTTTGATTTCCTGTCAGCATTTATCCTTTGCTGTTCCACATAGCTGGTCCCAGCACCTCATGCCAGCAGGCTACTGGGCAGTGTATTGCATTGATCTGCTCAGCACTCATGTGACATAATAACTCCCCACATTTGTGAGAGAGGCAGGTATGCATGCTGCCAGAAAAGGAACAGCAAAGGTTATGATTTCAATGATTTTTCTCAGGGTCTGTGTGTGTGCGTGTGTGTGTGCGTGCGTGTGTGTGTGTGTGTAGTGACAAAAGAGATTTTACAATCTGTAGATATTCATTCAGCAACGTCTAAGAAAGGTACAAGCCCTCCCAAGCATAGAGGAAATGTTGTACGTTAATCTGTCTCATTATGATTTGTCAACAGGTGAGTTACTGGAAAGATATGGAGCAAGAAGAAGCAGCTGAAACAGTCAAAACTAGGGGGAATGAGTCATCTATCATTCTGACAGGATTAGAAGGAAATACATTGTATCACCTGACAGTGAGGGCGTACAATGGTGCTGGATACGGACCAGCTAGCAGTGAAGTGCGGGCAGCCACCAAGAAATCTCGTAAGTGACCTGGGATCCTTGTTCTTTTCAGAGCAGGGGAAGACATCTTCAGCAGTTGTAGATTCCACATGGGCTACATACTAAACAGGGTTAGAGGGTCATTTTGATTCATAGTCTTGCCTCAATGCTTAGATCTGAATTCCAAAAGAATAACAAGAAATTTTGCATTCACAATAGACAAAGGTTATCTTCTTGTGAAACAAAGCTAAGCGGTTTTGACGCAGAAGGGAGATAAAAGGATTCAGGTTCATAAGCTCAGCAGAGTAGCTATTAAAATGACACTCCTGGAGCAAAAAAATACCTTATCCAACTCTAGCTGGAAAGAAGCCTATAATGTCAGCCAACTATAAGCACAATAAAACATTGAAATACCAAAATTAAAATGAAGAAATGTATTTAAATGCATCCTGTCAACTTACTTTTACTTTTATTTTTCAGCTCCTAGCCAAGCACCAAGCAACATTATGTGGGAGCAGCAAGGCTCTCAGGTTTCTCTTGGTTGGGAACCTGTCAGACCATTAGCAAACGAATCAGAAGTAGTAGGCTACAAGGTTAGTGTTTTCTCTATTCTTCTGTGAGATTACTTCCCAAAATGTTTCTTTTACCTCAACCTTAGTTTTCATAAATAAGCCATGCTTCTGTTCTTTCTCAGTCTTTTTCAAATTATGTATGTAAAAGGTATCTTTCCCTCAAGCAGAGAAGTCAATACCGTTCAAATCAACTTCATTGAGTAGATCATGTAAAGTGGTTGGGTCAGAAGAAGATAGCAAAGCAAAACCTGCCACATCCTGCCAGGAAGAAGAGGTAGTGAAAGACATGTTGAGGGTCAGTGAAACACGATCACTAGTTACTGGGATGCCAGAGCAAAGAACAAATAATGGCAGCATGTGGCACTCAGTTTCATTGCAATGAAATTGTTACTACTTTTGTGAATTTTAGAAGAGCCAGTTAAAAGCAGTGACAGATGTCCCAAAAATTAGTGGATTGTTCACAAGGAAAAGACTGCAGGGTTTCAGTTTGTCTTCATTTCATATGCAAAAATAACTCCCATTGGTAGCAGCATCTTCACATACAATTGTCTCAAGTACCTGTATGACATCTATAAACATAAAAATGTTTACAAATTTCACCTTGGAATACTTCTAATTAATAACCTCTAACTTCCCCTATGTGTGTGTGTATACATACATTCATACACACATAGGTGTGTGTATGTGGAGCAAGAGAAGAAAGGAGAGAGAGAGAGAGAGAGAGTTCAGCAGAAAGCATTCAAAATTATCTTTTGTTTTTTATAATACCTAGCCATTAGTAAGATTATCATGCCTTAAAAGTCAATGTGGTAGCATCAGTTTAATATTGCTTATCATATTATTTATAAAAGTGTTGGCAAATCTATCATCATAAAATTCTTTGACAATTTATTTTTATTAGACAGATGCATAAGTACTGAGACTAGGCAGTGTTAAACTATCATAGAGTATTGTACCGGCCGCGCCAACCTTGTGCCGGCAGAGCCAAACACTCTCCTCCTATAAGGAGCAGGCTGCCAGAGTCATACTAACTAGTCTTCGGTGCCTACCCGGATACACACACAGAGACGACCCATCAGGAGGCTGCCAACACCCGAGTTTTATTCAGAGGCCATCACAGCAAGGCCAAGCAGGAAGGCCATAGCAACAGAGCAGGAGCAAAGAGAGCCTGTGCTCCCACGCGACTCCGTTCCTAAGTACCTACTTAGCGCCTCCTCCTCAGCCCACCTACTAGCCAATGATTGTAGGGTCAGATACGGAAGGGGCTATCTGAGTTTAGCGCACCAAGAGAGAGGGAGTGACGCAGGAGGCTAGGACCGGATACAGGAAAGAGGCGTCTGGGATTAGTGCATAGACAAAGAGTACGTGACCTAGGAAGTCAGGAAGGACACAGGAAAGAGGCGTCTGGGGTTGACGTTGCATATAGGGAGGGGACTAAGCAAAGGGAACTCATCCTCTGCTGTCCCACTCCCACGTGGCACCGCCCCTTGCCTCAGGAGCACATGCTCCGGCTACTTCCTTGCACCCAGCTTATCTCCCATAGCACTGCCCACTGCCTCAGGCCTTCTCCGTACCCAGTCCATCCCAGTTCACCACAACTCCGCCTACCACAGCCCCTGCCTCGACTTCCAAATACCTAGATTCTACCCCAATCTTGCCACAACGTTCACCTGGTAGCTGCCAACATCAGACAGTCCCTCACACTCCAGACCAATGCTGGCATTTTCATTGGCTCCATTTGATTGTAATGCTCTCCTTCCTCAGCTCCATTTCCTGGCATCTCTCATTTCCTTTAAGTTCCATCTAAAATTCCACTTTCCACAGGAAGCCTTCTTGATCTTCCTTAATACTAATGCCTTCCATCTATTGCTTGTTTCCAATATAGAAAAATTCCCTTTATAGTTGGCTTGTTCATGGTTTTTATATTGTCTCCCCCATTAGACTTTGAGCTCCTGGAGAGTACAGACTATCTTTACCTTTCTTTGAATGCTTAGCACATAGCATGGTTCTTGGCACATAGTAAAAATTTAATAAATATTTATTGACTGACTGACTTGAGTCTTCCCCTGAGCCAGGATAGGAAAGCAACATGGTTCAATGGAAAGAGCATTGGATTTAGACTTAGGATATCTGGATTTGAATTCAGATGCTGCTACCTGTACGACCTTGAGCAAATCATATTTTAACCTCCCAAGGTCCAAGTTTCCTTGTCTCTAAAATGAGAGGGTTGGACTTTCTGGCTTCTAAATCTCTGATCATCTGAATTCCCTGATTTCCTTCACTGTAGAGTCGGAAGATAAAGTATCATCAGAACACATCTCCTTCAACACTCAATCCTTTCCTCCTCCATGGGTTTCTTCATCCCCACAAAACCATTCATGGGTAAACATTCCCTTCAAATCAGCATATGCTGAAAATTAAGGGGAGCAATTTGGTCAAAATCTTGTGATTCCATCAAATGTACAACCTAAAGACTCAGTTAGCCAGGACTATTAGATACCCTCCCTCACTGGAGAGTATGAGTTATGGGGCAGCAAAAAGTATGAAGAACTTACTGTGACCTGAGAACACAAAAAAACTAAGAGTCAGAAGTAGAGGTCTGAAATCTGGGTATCTTAAGTAATAATACAAAGGATGGAGTAACCAGATAGCTCCTTAAGTGAGGCAATCCAGACTTCTCACTTCTAGATGAGACTTGAGAAGAGTGATAAATTTCAAGAAATAGAAGGGGAGCTGCTCTAGAGGGACAAACTTTTGGTTAATTTTTGGCCAAAATCGAGATGTATAAAGGCAATAAACCAATCTTGAATTAATCAAAAAAAGAAATAAAAGCGTTAGTTACACAAGACAAACCAACAGAAATCCAAATGTAAATCAATCTTTTTATCTTAAAACAAGAAGTACTGACTTTTATTCCAAAGTTTGCATCCTTATGTGGATTAAGAAGGGACAAAGGGCTCCAAAAACTATACAGGCACAAGTAACCAATGGAGTAAAAATAAATTAAGCAAAAACAGAAATTCTTCTAAAGAACTTTTAAAAGACAAAGGGAGCTTTCTCCCTTACCCAGTTAGATCTGCTTCTTAGAAAGGGCCAGAGAAAATCATGGGAGAAAGTTCTACACCCCATTAAGATGAATAAGTTCTATCTAGTTTTACTGGGGCATTCCCTAAAAGGTAGTATTTTTCTTACCTCATTTAAATTTTGTATGCTATTTGGGAGACCCTGGGCTTCCTGCAATCTTTATTAAAAATTCTACTTTTATCAGCAAGAATTCCCACACACACACACCCAGCCTCTGCCAACAAATAGCAAGTTAGGAATGCAAATGTCATGCCTGGTGTGTAGACCATGGTCACAGATTGCTTTTCTCAAAATTTAATAGCTTTCATTTTTAGAAGCTGGATCATATTTGGCAATTTGCTGTGCATATTTATAAATTGTTCAGGTCAATTAATATTAAGTCCTATCCCTTATTGCTCTTTTTTGCATCTCCCAAATTAGAACCAACTACATATTTTATTAATGCCATGCTTATAAATGATCATGAGGACAGAATAAGAGCATCAAATAAAAGTACCTGATTTGATATATTTCATCCAAATAAATACTTACAGTGGTAAAAACCCTTTTCTTGCATATATTCCTCATACTTTAGGATCATGAGATTGTCCTCATCCCATACAATTTTGACAAGAAAAGGATGTTGCATCCAGATTCTTTACCAATACTGAGATGAATAGATAAATATATATGAATATAGTTGTATCATTTCTGGAGTTCCTAAAGGAGCTAACCTTCTAGCAGTGGTGCATACTTTTGTAGAAAGAGGTGTTATTTGGCAGGAATCTTTTCCTTAATAATACTAAAATGAACCTGGTTCTCTCCTTTGCTCTGCAGAAGTTTGTCACCGAGTTTAGAAGGAAAGAGAAATAATCTTTACCGAACACTTTACCACCCCCATCCCCAGCTTCTCCTCTTTGCACAGGCTCCTGCCCAGGTGAAGAAGCATACCTTCTGGCTCATATAAGAACTGTGCTTCTTGCTTTAAAAAGTCACTCCCTGTGACCCTCTTTTGGCATACATTTTCTTTGTTAGAAAAAGAAACAGGCAATCAGAATCTGGGGCTAGTCCCTTTGAATGCCTCCCAGGAGAATAGTGCTCAGCCATTCCTGTCAATACTCATCCTAGACTTTCCCCTGTTCCTTTGGAAAGTGCTTCCCAGAGTCCCATATCTCCCATCCTTCCAAGGAGTTGGCAGTAGAAAAAAATAAATTCAATGCTCACATTTCTGTAATATTGATCTCTCTGTCTCTGTTTCTACCAGCTTCTCTCTAGCTCTTTCTCTGTGTGTGTCTTCCTAACTCTCTCTGCTTCTCTCTGTTTCTCTCTCTGTCTTTCTCTCCATATGTTTTTGTCTCTGTCTATCTCTGTCTCTCTGTCTCTGTCTCTCAATACACACATACACACATACCCCCCCACACACACCACTTTTCTCATTGTGCTGTGTTGTTTTAAATATTTTCCTATTTGTTATCAATTTGTTATCACAATTTAGGATAAAATACAATCTCTTTGTTCTGGTGTTTAAGGCTTTACATAGTCTGGTTCCAATTTATTTTTTCAGACATATTATATATGATATCCCTTTATGCCTCATGTTCTCGTCAAACCAAACTGCTCACAATTCCCCAATTCTGTCTTGCCATCTCCATTTCAGAGACTCTGCTCCCTAACTGGAACACAATCATTCCTCACCTCCACTTTCTCTTGCTTTGAGGAAACTCATGTATCACCTCTTCCATGAAACCCTCCCGAAAATAACCAGTTTAAAGTCATCTCTCCCTCCTTGAGCAGCACTTGGTCTTCTAGATCTCTTCTTTGACTCTGGGATTATAGGATCATGTATCTACACCTGCAAGGGAACTTAAAGGTTTTGTATGTAGTCTAAGCCCTTCATTTTATAGATGAGGAAACTAGGGCCAACAGATGTTAAATAACCAAGGACACAAAGATACGAA